CCCCCCCCACCCCTTCCCCGCGGCACCCCCCCGCGGCTCGGAGCCCGCCCTCCCGCCGCGGTGCGCCCTGCAGCGCCTCTGTCCCCGGCGGCCTGGGCTCTGGGCTCGGACCACATGTGTGGTCCGGCTACACGTGCGGGTGTGAGCCCCGTCTCGCGATCCGTTGCCTTGACCTTTGGCTCTTAGAGGAATCTCTTCAGCTCCCTCCAGGGGAGTTTGCTGGGAGGAGCAGAAAGTAGCTTGGGTTGCTTTGCTCGCGCCCTGTCCCCTCCTTCCCCGCTGGCGTCTTCCCCACCCAAATGAAGCTTATTCGCCTGGCTCGCCCTTCTCTGTGACCCTGCAGGCCCCGGTTCTCACGCTCGCCCTGTCGCTCACCCCCTGTTCAGGCTGTTCCTAATGTGCCCTGCCTCTTGCTACTTTTTAAAGCACCGCTGTGCTGCGTTGGTCTGGACTCTCACTGGTCCTCGTAGTTTGGAAATTGCACTGAAACTCTTGTACTTTTGCTTTTAAGTAGCTCCTCCCTACCCGCCCTAAGAGCAGATCCATGATTTGTGGGACCGAATGCAATTCTGGGAGCCAGGTGGTTAAGGTGGCTGGATTCCACCTGGCCGCCTCAGACTCAGGCGCTTGAGGAACACAGTGGGCATGTGTGTGTGCATGCCCCAAATCCCGGGAGGACCACAGAAGAGAAGGGGCTGTGGAGTGGCCATCTCCTTGGGGGTGGTGGTGGGGGTGGTTTTTCTCTCTCTGTCTCTCTCTCCAGCAAATGGAAGCACTCTATTCCAAAAACTAAAAACTAAATAAATAAAAAAAGTGGGGTTTTGTTTTGGTTTGTTTAAAAAAAAAGAAAAGAAGAAGAAGCCACAATACCAGATGTGGCAAGTGAGGGACCCTGAAGCTTGTGCTGGGTAGTTCTCTAACCAGTGGGTCATCCTAGGAAGCTTGTCTAAAATGCAGATTCTGGTAGTCTAGGATAAAGCCTTTGTTTTTTTTAAGAATTAATTTAATTTTATTCACTATTACTATTATTACTATCACTCAGTTTGACCAGAGGGAGGGTGAAAAAGCAAGCCGCCATGTCCAGGACTCAGACCCTAGTCAGCCGTGTGGGAATCTAGCGCCTTAACCACCATGACATCTGCCAGCCCTCTCCCCCTTTTTTCTAAAGTTTTGCCACAGACTTCATGGACTTGCTGGAGAGAGAAAGAAATCACCCCCCACGAGGGATGGCTACACAATTCTTTCTCTATTCTCCTGAGATTTTTTATTTTTTGGAGAGGTTTTTGCTATAGGGCATGTGTGCTCGCCAGAAAGACAGAGACAGAAAGCGAGAAATCACCCCCTGGGGAGAGGGCCATGCCACAATCCCTTCTCCTCCACTCTCCTCTTGGGATCTCGGGCGCCTCGCTTGAGTTTAAGCCACCGGGTCCGGGACTCGAACCGTGGTCGACTACATGGGAGTCCAACGACATAGCCATTATGCCATCTGCTGGTCCCTCCTCCTGAGATGTTTGGCACACACGTGTCTGGCATTTTTTTTAAAAGAATTACTTTATTTAACCTTATTTATTATTATTTTAGTATTTCCAGAGACACACAGAAAGAGAGAAAGAGGGGGAAAGTAAGAAAGCAAGCCACCAGGTCCAGGACTCAAGCCACAGTCAGCCACGTGGGAGTCCAGCACTCTTAACCACCACAGTTACCTGCTGGCCCCCATGTTTTAAGTTTCTTGCCATAGTGTGAATTCACTGGAATGAGACAGAGGGCCATCCCCAGGGGGGATGGCCACACAGCAATCACTTCTTCCCCATTTTCCTCCTGAGGTTTTGGGCATGCTTATACACGTCTGGTGAGATTTTTAAGCTACTAGGTCCAGGACTAGAACCATGGTCACTCACATGGGAGTCCAGTGCCTTAACTGCCATGCCACCTGATAGCCCCCAGTCATGTTTTTCTTTTTGGAGAGATTTTTGCTATAGGGTGTGTGCTCACTTGAGAGAGACAGAAAGTGAGAAATCACCCCGCAGGGGATGGCCATGCCACAATCCCTTCTCCATTCTCCCTGGGATCTTAGGAATGCATGCACACACGCCCAGTGTGTTTTAAGCTGCCAGGTACAGGACTCAAACCACTGCCATCTGCTGATCCCTCCAGTCATGCTTTTCAAGCTGCTGGGTCTAGGACTCAAACCATTAAGTTAGTCATGTGGGATCTAGCTCTTAACGTCCACACCACCTTTGGCTCCTTGACTCTTTTGTTTTAGAAAATTATTTAATTTTATTTATTATTACATCATTTTAAAAATTTACTATCAGGTATGTGCGCTCACCAGAAAGACAGAGAGAGAGAGGAAAAGTGAGAAAGCCAGCCGCCAAATCTGGGACTCGAACCATGGTTGGCCATGTGAGAGTCCTGTACCTTAACCATTCTACTTTTAAAAGCTCCCCAGTGGTTCCGCTCTGACGAGGGTGGCCCTGAGCCTCGCGGCCCTGAGGGTAATGTCAGTCAAGCTAGAACCTGTGGTCCTTGTGCCCCGAGTCCAGCATACCCCTCCTGCCTCTGGCCAAGTGCCCACGCACCTTTCCCCGGTCACCCCGATCCAGTGCCTGGTCCTCCCCTGTCCTCATCGGCCCAGTCACACATCCCACCTCCCTGTGGCTGCTCCACTTAGTGTCGAGTGGGCTCCTGCAGGTCTCGGACACGCCCGCTCCCTCGGTGCAGGGTGGATAGGGCAGCAAGGGCGGAGAAGCGGTCCTGAGCCTGAGACCCAGGGCGGATGCGTCTGTGACCAGCTTTCCCTCAACTGCAGGGGGAGAGGCTGCTGGGGACGACAGGCTGATCCACGAGCAGGACTTGGCCTGGCTGCAGCAGGCCGACGGTGAGTGGCCCTCCCTGCTACCTGCGGACTCCTCCGGGATATCCCTGGGCATCTCTGGCCTCCACACCGCGAACGGACCCCCTCGAGTTCCCTCAGCACAGCCACACTGCCATCTGCCGTACGAGCCCCAAGTGCTCCAGGTACTGAGCCTTTGTCTCGTCTTCCTTCCCTAGTGGTGGTGGCAGAAGTGACGCAGCCATCCTTGGGCGTAGGCTACGAGCTGGGCCGGGCCGTCGCCCTCCATAAGCGAGTCCTGTGCCTGTTCCGCCCACGGTCTGGCCGAGGTGTGTGCCCCAAGCCCCAGGTGCCCATCCCCTCCCAGCTGGGCTCGCTGTGGCCCCAGCCCTCAGCTCCTTCCGTGGCCGGCTCCTAACCCCCAGCAGGAGCAGAGAAGGGAGTGGCCTGGTGGGGGTGTGGATGGGAGGCAGCGTCACCTTCCCCGCCCTCCCCAGTGCTGTCGGCCATGATCCGGGGAGCAGCAGACGGCTCGCGGTTCCAGGTGTGGGACTACGAAGAGGGAGAGGTCGAGGCCTTGCTGGATCGATACTTCGAGGCTGGTCCTTCTGAGCAGGTGGCTGCCTTCCCTGACCCCACTGCCTGACTCAGCGCACCTGATCAAGTTCTAATCCCCGACACTGCTCTAGTACCATTCCTGCCCCGGCCCTAGTAGCGAATTAAAAGGTATGTTGGTAATTCTGTCTCCATGTGTGGTGGGGACGCAGGTCCTCAGCTCCCTTTCCCACTCCACTTCACGTTCCAGTGTAGAGACCCTTTCAAAGTCTGCAGCCTGCCCTTGCCCCGCCCCACCAGGAGGACACCTCCTTAAGCCCTCAGCCCCCACCAGGAACAGTCTGTAGGAAGGCCAGCCACGGGGGCCTGCCGTCCCACCTCCTCTGAAGTGGGGCTCTGTGTGCACCGGGCCCTGTCATGCTGCCTTCACTGAGGATAGAAGTCCTGAGAGAGGTCTAAAGAAGCAGAGCAGGGAGCTTGGGTCCTGGGGAGCCTCAGTCGACCAGCCCCTGGTGAAGCTGTCCTGCCTGCTTCCAGAGATGTGAAAAAAGGAAGTTTATTCAGTAAACAGATCCGGGAACCCCCTCTGCAAGGACAGGCAGCAGGAAGGGCTGAGCCCCCCGCCCCCTCAGCCCTTGCTCTGGGCGGCTCTAGATTGTCTCCTGCCCCCTCAGTCATAGGCCTCATCATCGTCCTCCTCGTCACCAAAGAAGAAAGTCTCCCGGCCCAGGTTCTCGGACTCCTCATCATAGGAGAAGCTGTCGTTGTCCAACTCCTCGTCAAACTCGTCCTGCTGCCACTCAGGCACATCGTCGTCGTCCTCCTCCTCCTCCTCGTCATCCTCGTCCTCCATCTGCAGCCTCGAGGAGCCCTGGGGCCTAGGGAGAGCCACCACACTCAGCCCCAGAGGTAGCCTGCCACCTCCCACTGCCCCCGAGGCCCTGCCCCTGTCCCACTCACTCGTGGCCATGGCCGGGAACGTTGGAGCCTTTTGCCTCCTGGGCCTCTATTGAGGGACTCTGAAGACTGACCCGGAAGTCCTGGCAAGACGGGAGGTTTGACGCGTTGGAGAATTGAGGGCATTAAGGGCCAGGCTCCTGCTAGGAAAGCTGGCCCCTCCCACCACAGCACCTGTGTGTCTAACTCATGGGTGGTCTCCAGGGTCCCGGACACTAACCCTGTGCTTAGGGAGCCTGCTGTGTATGTCTGTATTTTCTGCCCAAGTCACTTACCTATCAGCAGTCTGGGGAGGACTCAGTTTAAACTCAACCTCAGTGCATTAAGAGCTGGGAAGGACCTTGGACACCCCTGGCTCTAGTGATCCCAATGCCCTGGGCCCACCCCTGGGAATTCGAATCCACATCTGGGTAGTCTGAAAAAGTGCCCTAAGGGCAGCCTTGATGTGGACTGAGCAAACCCTTCACTCTGCAGAAGCCCCAGGAGTGACTGAGTCCAGCAGCATCCGGGAGGGTGGCCCCAGGGCTGCCTTTCATCTGGGCTTGTCCCAGGACAGGGGCTGGGAGCGCAAGGGAGGCCACAGGAGGGCCCCGAGCCCTGCCGAGTGCGGACGTGGAAGGGGCCCGGGCATGCGGTAC